TCATTCACTAAAGACTGTTACCACGCTTGGTAACCGCAATTATTTTTCTAGTTGTTATTAGAAAGACGCTGCTGTCCAACTTCTGCCTTGTTTCCCTATGTCGCCTCTTACGAAACCCATGGGACGATATCGGGTCGGCTAGTGGATATTCTTAGGTTGCCACTTAAAATTTAATACACGCGTAGTTCTATAATAATTATTTTATTACGATTTTCAAGGAAGAAATCAATGTAGTGGCTTATAAACACATGCCATGTACATCTAAGAATCCATCTAAGAAATAAATAAATATAACAAAAAAACCATTCTAACAGAATATAACACGTTTTTTGTTATACAACACATTGACATACAACATATTATACTTGATCGTTCAACAGCAAGTCATAAGAGTATTGTCAGAGGTATAGAGGGAAACAATGCTATTTGTCGTTGCTATTGTTTCAATGCAGGCATTGTGAGCAAGCGAGTCGTAGCAGTGAGTTACTTATGACGTAGTTCAGAAATACAATTTATCGTTTTTGATGCTTTAAATTAAATCGTTACTATTTTAATATCATTCAGAACGAATTTGCATCACGGTCTGTGTGTATACACAAACATAGGCACATTCTCTGTGTTATCTGTGTACTGTCTGTTCCTTCACTCTCACGGTTCGGAGAGAGATCAGGTGCGAAAACGGCTTTACGTGATTTCAGAGACAAGGAAGGTGATACCGCCAACTTTTTGACTCCGGATTGCTATTGAGAATTTCTTGACGGAAAAACCCAGTAATTAACGGCTCAACCCGTGATTTCAATTTGGGACCCCGTAATCAGCAGTCGCCCTTATGACCAATAAACCAACCAGGCAGTCAATTGTTATTATAAAGGTCATTACTTTTGGAAAACGCAAACCCTATATTGTTAGATTAAGAGAATCTATCACCTCGAGTAAAATAGCAGCTTTAAGCTGCTGTGTTTTATGTAGTAAGTGTAGAGAACTGGAGACTCTTTTTACTGGAAACGTAGCATTCCATTTTCGTCCTCAGGAGTGACAGCGCATCTGCATTTTGATACTTAATCGAGGATAGACGTACATGTCTATGTACCACTGCGTCTACTTACTATCAGGTGATTTGTGTGCTCGTTTGTCACTCTTATTCTATAAAGAAAAACACATTTGTTAGGTAATGGTACTTTTTATGCCACGTACTAAATGGGAAAATAAATAACGCCGCTAGTGAATACACAGCTGGCATATTAAATTGGGCCTAAATACCGGACAGCCTTTGGTTTATACGTGTGCTAATTTAATTTTATGCCAACTCTTGTTGCTGCTCTCGTGACTGGATAAATAAATAAAGTGTGTTGAGGCTGTATTTTACGCGAATTGCGAAAGTTTGAAAGGTTTTTGTACAAGAAGTTAGAAAATAGCGGGTACGGCATCCATTCTAATCGTTTATTATGGTGTGAAAATCAAACACAATATCTGATAATCGGTAACAAAGTATTTTTCAAGGACTTAATTCAAGGACTTAATAAATTTTATCGACGCATTTTTCAATATTTATTATATTTAAAAAAAAAAACGTTACTTTCACATTAGGATTACCTCCTGTATCGTGGAGGCAGTTTACATACACAAAATTTCACAAGGATAAATATCAAGATAAATTTGTTAAATTTGGACAGGAGGGTCGATTAGCACAGTGTCATCAACCCCCCCACTGTTCATAAAGTTACAACCTACATGCACATCCTAGAATAGAGAAAGGAGGCCTTCCTTTATCAAAGCGAGGGTTTTAGGACAGGGAAATGACCACCGCGTTTCACCAATGCGTGTTCACGGGCTTCTCATGTCTTCCAATTTTTTTACTTTTCACACACGCATAACGCAGATAGCATATTTTCCCTTAGCATATTTTGCATTTAATAATGTAATTCTTGTCGGTGGAAATCGAACCCAGATTTAGCGTATAACGTGTATAGTGGTAACAAAACTATAGTATCATTGTTTATCTGGATGCTAACGCCATCTAGTTCCAAATGAAAATAATATTAAACTTACGTGGTAGAGCCATGCTGCAGCTATATTAGTAGTATAGTTGTAGCACGAATGGGTTGGCTCGACCAGGGAAGGACCACGTTCTCACAGAATACCAGCGTAAAATAGCAGCTTAACGCTGCTGTATTTCGTATGGTGAGTGTAGAGAACCGGAGACCCTTTTTACTGGAAATGAGGCATTCCATCTTAGTCCTCACGGGTAACAACGCATCTGCATTTTATATATATGTATTTATTCATATTACTAACAGATACAACATACTTTAAGTAAGTTTTGTGTTCATCCTCTAAGGGGTTGAATTTTTATTACGTGTATTAAATATTAAGTTGTATACACAAAGTAAAAATATATACGGAGACGAAAGCTTTTGTTTACAGATTACTAAAGCCGGTATCAAAATTTAAACTATTCACATAAATTCAGTTAAAAATTTGACGCTCACCACAGTGCATCACGATTTACAATTGAACGTAGTCGTATTGCACAAAAAGCAAGCAACCAGCACGCTGATCGAAAATGCGTTATATATACGAACCAATCATATTGTTCTATACATTCATACTAAAACAATTGCAGCAAAATTCTCAATCGATTACAAGCAAAAACAAAATAAACAAATCGACTCAAGCTATGACCATTGAATAGCTATATAAAAATTAAGTCAATATTTCAAAAATTTGCTTTTCATGACTTTACGTACTTATAGGTTTAACCATAGGATTTTCTCATGCATCAGAGCAGAATGCTGCTACAATATGGGATGGTAGTCTTAATAGTATACTAACGATCCGCCTCGGCTTTCGCACTGGTGATTTCTGGATCTCAACAACAGCGCCACCTACCGTTTAAACCATCTAGGGACACATTCAAACTCACACAAAGCATTTCATTAAAATCGGTATAGCCGTTTTTGAGTTATAGCGAGTCTAACGGACATCAATTGATTTTTATATATAGAGATAACCTTGAAGTATTCTTAAAAGTTCAGGTTCCAGTCGAATAAAAGCACTTATAAAAGCTCTCAAGTGCAAGCAGAGAGGGTTAATTGCTCAATTGCAATGAAACTGAAATTGCTTTTTACGATGTCGTGTGGATAATATGTATGTGTGTATGTATGTGTGATGTGTATGTATGTGTGATATCTATGTATGTGTGTTTATGTATATTAATATGTATATATGTATATACAATATTTTTTTAGCGCTTTCTATTTTAATAAGTGCTGCAACGCCTCTTGTTTGTATATCTCTGTTTAGCCTAATGGTTGACTGGGAGAGAATGCCCTATGGCATTAAGTCCGCCATATGTATAACTTTGGGCATGAATGATTAAACAAAAATAAATAAATATTAAATGCTCTACTTAATCCTAATGCTGTGTAATAAGGTACTGACATTGTATGATAAAATTGGGGAAAGTTACTTTGTACACAAAAACTATAGATGAAATATACACAGTTACAAACAAAATTGGAGTCCACTCCTCCTTTTAGGCTTTTTAAATGCATGCAAAATAAAAAAAAATGCCAAATTAAATTATTTGAATTTCTTCATCAGTTAAACTGTGAAGAAACTGAAACATTATTTACTAGAAGTTAATATTACTTACACACCCTCTTACATACGCTCATGCATCCAATATACAATACACAAAGAGATATATTTTAATACAAACTTTAACATTTTTTAAAGATTAAGTTTTACAAATATACCTTCTATTTAAATTATACTTATGTGAGTCTGTTAATATGTAATACGGAAGAACACTGTGATCTGAAAAACAGATATATATTTATCTTGTTCAGAAACAGATGTTCCATCATTCAATGTAAACTAATTATAGGTCACAGAATAGCTATTTAAAAATGTGGCAGTTATGCATGTGGTGAAAATAAAGTAATATTATTATACTTACTTACTTACTTATCTTCACGCACAATCCCTGACGGGGTAGCCAGAGAGAACAGATCGCCAAGTGTCACGATCCTTACATACCCCTTTCGCTTCTTTCAGATTAATTATCTTCTTCATACATGCACGTATATATTGTGTAATATTATTATGCTTGCATTTAAAAAAAAAACCTTTAGGTCCTACTTCAGATGCTGCTATTGGATATGCAAGGGGATATGTTTACACTTAACATGTTATGTGAATATTATTCATATCAAATTAGATTCAATTATACAGGACCTTGCATTCGTCAATTACGTTAGTAAAATATTAAACTCATTTGATGTACTTATTTAAATGACTTCATTAATAACCGTTTAGGGCATTTGGAAATTAGGAAATATCAAAGACGTGTTGAAATATTACAATTTATTTGCTTATACTTTTCCCTTTTTATATCTTAATTTTCATTTATATCACAATGAAATAAATTATAAATTATAAATTTATTTTTAAATTATCACTAATTACATTGAATGCCTATATACTTTCTATAAATAAATATTAATAAATTAAACCAATATTGTAGGTAACAAAATAATAAAAGGACTTATTACAAAGTTTACTGTACACTTATATATCTACATGATTAATGACCCTAATGTAAAAATTATCATAACCATTTAAAATTAATATAGTTACAAAAATGAGCATCACCATTTATGCTGCGCAATTTTCGTCTTCTATTACAGAATAAGAAAGCATTTATCGAGATATTGGTCCTAGTTTTTTTTTTACATTAAATATCAATAACTGTTAATTACGCAACCAATTTGTAGAAAGGCTACAAAAATTAGAACAATATTACCTATTTTTCTATTGATATAACCCAGTTATCTTACCCGTAATATAGAGAACAAGCATAGAATCATAATAACTATGTTATAAGTTCTATTGATTTTAACAAGCACTTTACTTCATAATGTAACATCAGCAATACTTTATAAATTGAAACTTACTAAGATGAAAATGAACGAAAACATATATAGTAATTTAAAACTTTACGACGAAATAATTATCAGTATGGCATACAGTAAAACAGCAGCAGATGTGTGTGGAGCGCGCGACGCCAGAGCCGAAGCAGGGTTGCGGACGCAAGCGCGGAACTCGTGATAGTCAGCACGTGTGATAGCACAGTAATGAACGTGGACACATGTCGCATCGCAATCAGACGTATCTGTCGTGTGTCGTACACGTAAAGCTGTCAGATACCTGGTTGTTAGACAAAACAGATATTTTAGTTATATCGCTTACTAATCTTGCTATGAATGATAAATAATGAGAGAGAGAGAGAGAGAGAGAGAGATATGAGTTTCATATTAACCCAATTTATATTTTATTTAAGGAGATTATTATATACTTTAAGAAGGTAGATTATGATAAATTAAAAAAATAACACTTAAAAGGTTTAAGAGAATGTAATAATTCTCTTTAGTTTTTTATTTTAAATAATTCCAAAATTATCCAGATTAATTAACAAAAGATGACGTAAGAGATATCTAAACTTTACTCCTAAATTACTCATTTACTGTATATTCTACATCGACGGAAAGCGATTGCCATTTAGAAAAATACTACTGAAATTTCTACTATAATATCTAAAGTATTGAGTACAGTTAATTTTTAAAAATTGATGAAAGCCCTAAAGACTGATAAAAATCAGAACGACAGAAACTTTTAGAATGCTAAAATTTGCATTGTATTTGTGTCTCTTAATCATACGCAATGGGATGTAAGCTACGAGTACTCGTACAAGGTAATAATAGTAAACATTGTGTTAATCTCTCGAACTAACATAACATACGAGAGTGGTAACATTCCATTATATATAAAAAATGTATTAATTATTCGGAAAATTTATATTCATCGTCATCACCAGCCTATTTGATTTCAAGCGATTTGAAAGATTTGCTTCTGCTGGCTAATTATTTCTTATTTCTTTGAGGGTTTTAAAGTAGAGCAGATTTCACCGCCGTTATTCATTTTGCCAAATTTCTCATAACTAATTTGTCAGACATGCCGTTGATGTCAAGACATCGTTTGTTTGCCTTCATGGCAAAGGATATTGTAAGTCAAATAAGTGTAAATGATGATGAAGAAAAAAAGGCTCATGTCGTAAGGTCATTTTATAGGGAAGCTAACACAGTGACAATGAGAGCTTATAAGTTCAACAAATTACAATCCTATAGTAGTCTATCATACGGCAATAAATATGCTTCTTTAAAAAATTTATTAAACTATTTACTTAACTTAAAATATTTTAACTGCACCTACTTTGTAAACAGCGTCCGATCATGATAGTTCAGCATTCTTTCAGCCAAACCGTCTAGAGACGTTGCGCTTATTTCTCTCAAACTGTAGTACTGCGTCAAATTATACTCTATAGCCCAATGTAGCTCTCCTCTTGTGTTCGTTATATCTAAGTAATACTGAGTGTAGTCTAATACCTAAAACACAGAACGTTATTTTATAAAAGAAATTATTAATATCATAAAATAACAACTATTATTTGATGACGCCGTTCTCGAGCGGCTACGATGCAAAGCTTTGCTTACATCGGATCTGAATTTTGAGGCTGGGGTTGCGGCTAATTGTGTGATGGATAAAACATCGCTTTATTAGCGTGAACAAAAAGTATTGGGGACCATATCCCTAAGGCAATAGTAGTCAAATAAGGTTGATCTGACATCAATAACAGTATAATGAACCGTTATGAAGGCATTTGTTTTTAAGTATAAATTTTTTTCAGTTCTACTTTTCTCATAATCGGAGTTTACAACGAAATCTAAATTATAAAGAGATAAAAATATATAACTAAATCGTTTCTTCCAGAATGACAAGCTCAAACTTTTTAAGTACTGATTTACTACGCACTCGGGGGTAAAGGAAAACATCGTCAAGAAATCTCTATTTTAGGACACACGGCTCTTCAATTCCTTTTAAAAAGAATAAATTTTATCATTTCTGTAAAATAACTTTTAATTAAAAATATATAACGACTATTCATATTGAATTGATCTTCTTTAATTCTATAAAGTATATCTGAGTTAAACATTTATAAAATATCTGTGCAATAATAAAATCAAAACTTTATACCTATACATATTATGCAATTGAAGTTAACTGTTTACCTTTCCTGTATTAGAGTCAAACTTGTAAAGCCTTAACCCTGGATTTGAAATACTACCGGATCCTCGAGGTGTTAGCGATGGTGCAAGTAACGCCCACGACACTGGTCTTCCTACAATAGATAAGAAAAAATTAGTATACAATGACAAGATGTTGGTTTAGTTTCTTGCTTTAGTGTCTCTGTTGGGTGTATTTGTATTTTGCATGAACAAGCAAACACTAAAATACCAAACAAAAACTTGTTACGGATCCACCCTAACCCGATTTAACTATATAGAAAATAAGATACACCATCAAAAAAAATATTACTACTATATCTTAACACTTGAGACAAACAAAGAAGCATAGAAACAAACAAACATGCTCAACACATTAAGCACACGCACTCACGCACACATATGCATTTAGAACCACATATGGGTGCTTCAGACTTTTACGGTTTGTTAAAGAAAGAAAGTAGAAAGACGTGTGTGTGTGAGAGTGCGTGTCTACAAATTCAGCATAGTATCTATTTGTTCGTCATCGTCGTTAGCACAGTACAAAAAGTTGCCTCGGCTAGGTCTCCCTTACTTATTTCTAGATTAAAACAATTTATAATTCCATAATATTTATTCGAATGCTTGATATAATTACCTTCACTGTAAATTAGCCGAAATGTATCAGCGTGGCGATGTCCATAAAATTGTCCTGCAATAACGTCGCTAAAGGCTCTGATAACATGAAGCAATCTGGCATTTGCAGTAGGCGTGAGCTCACCCCCACCAGCTGCAGAGGCGCTTCCAGCGTTATGGCGTTCTTCTACTCCCGGACCAGCATGTGCTACCAAGTAAACCTAAAAAATGTGTGAACTTGTTGTGTTACTGTTAATTTCATTAAATACAGTATCTTTATTTCTTAAAAAAAACCAATAATCACAACTCTGGGCAGGCAGATTGGTAAGATTAATAAAGAAATTGCTGTTTGGTCTGCGCGGTTTGTGCTAGGAAGGATTTTCTGCCATTTATTGGATGGCCAGGCATGAGAAGGTTTGAGTGCACCTGTTAGAATGGACAGGTGCACTCAAAACTTATATCTGCTATTTTTTTTAATAAAATAAGTGTATAGTTAGTAGAATGTGCCATATATGCAAGCGAGGTTCGCACTTTGAGAGAATTTTGTATAAGCGGCGAACCCTTATACTCTTTTATATAATTTCTGAAAAAACATGTTATTTCATTTAAATTTAATATCTTCATTTCTCAAAGAAATAAAAAGTTCTGTGGTAAAACCTCATTTTGTAGTTTTTTTACAGAATTTATGCTTAAAATTTATGAAACATTTGAATTTTACCATTTCACTTTTTCGCCTGGCTTTACTTAATACGTGTTCCAACCATTCCCACTGGGCTCTGCCTCTGTGGGGTCCATCAGTCCTGGCTGCTCCTCCAGCCCATAAAACACTATTCAAGACTATTATACGTAGCTTACTGTGGGATTGTTCTATGGTATAATAACCACCTAAAAATAAATTTTCATCGTTAATTGTAAGCTTTTATTTGATAAAAATATTTTTTTTATTTTTTATAAAAAAAGTCATGTTAACAATCATTAATTTTGTGTTTTTAACGTATTGAAAAACCGACTCCATATGGTTAACTGTTTTTAGCACTAAAATAACAACAAATATAAGAATAACAAAAATAACCAGATAATAATAATAATAATAAACGAATTATTTTATATACTGCAAAAAATATTTATTTACCAGTTTGAAATGTCTGCAAAGCCTCTGTTGGCAGCCACTGCATCCACATATCAACGAGTTTCTTCGACGGCGGTGGATCATTATGTCCCAAGGCTGGGAAAACAAACTGGCTGCTGAATGTTCTGCTTAAAATATCTGTGACATTTCTCACTGCTTCCAACTTAACCTCTTCACTCAAGTGTTCCATCGAAGAAGACAGAATATCCCTGGCAAGTCATAACATAGACTTTTAGATTGTTAAAATAATGACATACAGACCGAATTTTGATCATGGCGGCCAGCCTCAGTGAACATTAACCATCTACGCAGAACAGGATTATATCATGCGAGTGTTTGCACAAGTACAGGTGCACTCAATTGCATCTCATTCTCATTGTCGAGACAACAAACTGCCACGACCGGACAAATAAGGTGCAGGGCCAACGGTTTTACGTGTATTCCGAGGCACGGGCCGCCTAATTTTTGATTCTGCACCCTACTTTGAGAATAACAAACAAACAACAAACAAACACTCACACCTGTCACCCAAAGGGGTAGGCAGAGACTACGGACTTCCATTTGGCGCGATCCTGACACACCTCTATCACCTCCTTTACATCAATATATCTACGCATACACGCTCGTTGATTAAGGGTACTCCTAATCTGGCCTATTTTAATGTATCGCCGATTAGGTCGATAAACCTTCGTCTAGGGCGTCCCTTCCCGGCCCTGCCGTTCACTTCTGCAACATAAATTTGCTTTGTCACTCTTTTCTCGTTCATTCTTTCTACATTCTAACACAGCATTATGAATTGCCATACGTGCCTTATTTGACACATTCTGACTCCTCATGATAGCGTGTAGAGCCCCATTCACTTTACTTCCTGCGTTCACTCGTCGTTCTATATCCTTATCATATCTACCATTCCTGCTAGATAAACATCCTTAATATACAAAATCATCCACTTGCTCAATAAACTCCCCTTCTATTCTTATTTCACATAACGTTTTACTTTCTTCTCTTTCAAAAACCATCACTTTCGTCTTACTTGCATTCACTTTCATACCCCTTCCTTTCAATGACCTGTTCATTAAAGTAACCATCATTTGCAACTCGGCAATGCACGCCGACGATGCAAATATGACTTGATCATCAGCGAACAAAAGGTATTTGATGATTAACTCACCCATTCTCAACCCACATTCTTCAACTTTCAAAGTTTACAAATAACTGTCCATAAATAGGTTAAACAGCCAAGGGGAAGCAACACATCCCTGTCTGACACCTTTATGAATGCCAAACCAGTCCGAGTAGACCCGTTGATCCTGCTCAAGCACTAGAGTCCCTATAAAGAGACCTTAATGCCTGTATCAAGCCAGCGCTCAACCCAAATGAGTTCAAGGTTTGCCATAACACATTCCTGTCCACTCTGTCATAAGCCTTTGCCAAGTCCATGAAAACACAAAAAACTTTTTGGTTTTTGGCCAAAAACTTTTCCGCAATCATGGGCATGGAAAATACTTGATCCTTACACCCCATCGCCTTTCTAAACCTAGCTTGCACATCCCAAATTTTTCCATCAGTTTCTTCCATAACTCTTTCAATTAACACCTTAGCATACAGTTTACCCACAATGCTAAGCAAGCTGATACCACGGTAGTTTTTACAGTCCTGCTGTGAGCCCTATCCCTTATATATTGGGACTATAACGGCTTTGCACCAGTATTCCGGTAAACGCTTCAGTTCCCAACATAAATTAAACAAGGTGCACAGCAGGCCTGCAACCACACCCTCTCCAGCCCTTAGCATTTCGAGTGATATGTATCATATACGGCTGCTTTACCTGCTTTCATGCTTTTCATTGCTTTCATTATTTCATCTACGCTTATCTCCCTACCTCTCTCTACTTCTTCCGGAATTTCTATTTCACTTACTTCAGACGACTCTTCACTCTTAAATACGCTTTCAAAGTATTCCTTCTATCTCTTCAAATTCGAAACTTCATCATTCAGCATGCAGCCATTCTCGTCTCGTATAGCATTCATTCTAGACTGTTATGAATTTCCCCTGGCAGTTTTTACGAGATTCCAGAACATTTTAATATTAGCCTGGAAGTTATCAGATATCCTTCTATCATTCTTATTTATCCTTTCTTGATTTTTCCTTTCAACAACTTCTTTTACTCTCTTATTAATACGTCTAAAAACTGATTTATTTCTTTCAATCTCATCATTCATACCACCAGAATTACCAGCTTTAGTTACTAGTAAATCTAGCCATGCTCTCTTCTTTGCTTCACCTTCCATCTGTACATTTTGGCTGGCATTGGCTGCATCCACCAAAACTTTCTTAATATTATTCCATACATTCTTCAAGTCTAAATCATTCATACATAATTCATTCAACCTACTTATATTTTCCTTCAGTCTTCATTTATACTTCTCTTTCACACCTTTATCTTGTAACCTTTCTATTCTTATACGCTGTAACGCAGTCGTAGACACAGATGTCCGATGCCGCCAACGTCTGAAGAGACCAATAATTCGGCATAAGACCAAGTACTGATCCGTCCTTACGTAGGACACCCGGTAAACCCTTGTATCTACCACTGCGCTCCTCATTCTTTCATCCACTATTATGAAATCTATCATGCTTCTATCATCCCCTCTTTCCCATGTATACATGTGAATCCTCTTATGGCGAAAGAAATTGTTCGCCACAAAATGATTCTTTTCCACACATACGGTGAAGAGGTCTTCACTATTCTCATTTATTCTTTCAGCTCCAAACGTTCCCAATATCCTTTCGTAACCAGACCTTTTCAACGCAACGCTTGCATTAAAATCTCCTAACATAATAATATTTTAAATTTCCTTATATTTCATCAACCAGCCTTACCATGTCCCAAACTGCTCTCGGATATAAGTGGGGCTTAGACATCTGGGGCGTACTCCCCTAGCAGAAACAACTTCTTTAAGCCCACTTTCATTCGTATCCATAGTAGCCTTGGGCATACACATTCATACTCTTTCACACATTGACCCATTCTTTCTGAAAGAATGACACCGACTCCCTGGCATGCCCGCTCGGTTACGTCTACTCCAGACCAGTAAGCGATATACATGCCATGTGCAGTGACATCTCTTCCCTTTCGTTTCGTTTCATTCACACATAACACCTTTATTCCTCTATCATTCATCATTTTGCATACTTCATCCATCTTATCATTCATTGCTCCACATACATTCAGCGTAGCCAGACGGGCCTCCGCAATCCACTTTTCGTCCCTCCGGGAGACAGGACGTGACGGGTGGCGAACCTCGTCACCGGTTTTTCTCCCGGAGATTGAGAATAACTTGACAGAAAAATTCAATTACTAATTTCAGCTTGACCTGAGATTAGAACCAGAGACCAGATGATCAGCAGTCACTCTTACGACCATTCAACCAAAAAGGCAGCCAAGTAATCAAATACGGTACGGTAAGAATTGTTAAAATATTATATTGTGATTTTACTATATAAGCCATTTTAAGGAGATTCAAATACGAAATGGTTATAACATTGGTAACAAAGAAATAAGGATATACTGACCCTGTCCAAAGAACAAATTCTAAAGTATCCGGATGTCGTTCCGCCATAAGAGCTGCAGCACTCTGTATTAATGGCCAGGAACTGTCACAAGTATGATCGCGATGTCGGCCATTGCGGTGATTGTGGTCTACATTGGCGCGATTGTGTCGGCACCCTGAAGCAAATTTAAATTAGATAAATTTAAATAATATGGACGTGGGTGCCATTTGATCTTCTTTACTATTAACTTACAATTTGGCGACAAATTGTAAATGAAAGTTTCTAAATCGAAGTATGTTATAAAATATAATATTATAAATGTATAATAGATATAAGAAATAAATTCTAAACAGGAAATTAATAACTACAATATATTTTCAAATAAAGAAACAGCACAAAATCTACACTAACAACTTTTAGTGTCCTTTTCTCCAATTCAAACAGGACACTATAGTTTATAATAGTGTCAATTTACTACAAGCTTTTATCAAACATTATTACACCTATTGATTTCACTATCGTTTTAAATATTGTATATTTTTGCATTTATAACAACCAATTTAATGTTCACCAATTAGAGCTCTAAAAATTGTTCAGGAAAAACTGTAAAATGTGATATAATAAGAATAAACCTGACACCAATTATCCCGTGCCATTATCAATTTTTACCTGACAAGGCTTTTATTTGACGACCTCTAAAATTCAAATTAGCGCCAGAGACAACACGTAAGGATACTCGTACTTTTTTTAAAAAGCTCTAAAATTATTAGTGGTATTTAAGCAAATCCAAATCCATTTGACTTCACTGTGTGATATATAATTATTATTGTCCAATATACCTTAAAGCCTTAAAATAAAAGTGTACAAAGCGTATTGCAAGTGATGAATTATGGAACTAAAACGAGTTCGTGCACTGCTGGCCGAATAAAGCATAAAGTCATTTAGCGAGCGATGAAAAGAGCTACGCTAGTAGTTTTTCTGTGTGATAAAAACACTACTGAGAAATATCCACCGAAGAACGAGGAAGAACATAGATACGGGCTTACACAGGCCAGTGGAGTAGTAGGCTGCTAAATATTATGTAGTGGCTTTGGAGAACTAACAACCAATAGATATGAGTTACTCGAGTGACAGCCTTCTTGTGGCTAGCTCAGTGTCGACCAACCACACTCTAGATGTAATGACGATATGTAGAAACATGGATGGTAGATGATGCTGGACCATACTGTGGCAATATATGGGAGAAGGTAATGTTTAATAGTGGAGGTTTGATGGGCTGAGATGAAGATAATTTGACCAATTTTATAATATTAAAAGAATAATTTAAAATAACAATAAAATAAAATACCAAAACCTTGCTCCGATTTTTGGTGGTTTACAATTTTTCAGATTCGGAATGTATAGCCATATTGTCTTTTGAGAATCTGTGATTATTTAGAAAAAGGTTGCTTAGCGAAATCACAAGGCTCTTAATGATGGTGTTCACCTACCAGAAAAGATGCCCATGGGATTGCGGGCAACCGGAATGTAAGCCTCGAAAGCTTAATGTGATTCCGGGAAAGTTTGTATCGAGTCATCGTGATAGCACTTTCGGAGTTCTGAAGGTAGCTAATACTTATCTAAATATAATATTACCATATTTTTTATTTTCTTCTTTGTAGATGTGAACCAACAAGTGTACGCCAATAAACCTATAATAATGTGCAAATATTTAATTTGTATTTACTTAAATTTGCTTGGATCGTTAATGTAGATTTTGTTTTGTTTAAATGTAATACTGAAGACTGCATAAAGACTAAGAATCAAATATCAGTAAAACCCAAAATTTACCAAATGCCACCATCATTTAATATTTTAACTTACACATGAATTATATGAATAATATTTAAAAAATCCATCTATTAATTATAGCCTATAAAGGTCCACTGCTGAACATAGGCTTCCTCCAATCAAATCTATGCCATGCTTGGCAGGCGGGCTGGTAATCGCAGTTTTATTCAACCTACTCCAAATAAAAGAGAAGGTACTTCATTCAACTGTATATTTTTTGTGTTTACAACCTCAGAATTTTTTTTGTAGGTAAACCAATTTTGATGATTCTTTTTTTATTTAAAAGCTTGTGCTTTTCATGCGGTCCCATATAAATTTGATCTAGACGTGACCAGTAGTTTTTGAGTAATACTTAATAATGCGTATTTAATTGATATCGACTACATTGATGATGTTCTCATTTTATTTATATTGAAGTCGGTTGTACAAAATTTAAATTTTACCACTTGTTTAATTTTGAATCAGTTTTGTTGCATTTACCTCTATCGCCTTTTACAACATTTACGGCACGTATGAGTTAGTGGATATTCTTGCACCGCCACTACGCGGAGTTAAGTACATACATTATTTTATTAACAATTCTCTACTTATTTCAGGAGGCCAATCATAATATTTATGTATCCCAGCTTACACCGCCTCGTTAATTTCAGATTTAAATCACTGAGTTCTTAAAACGTTAATAAAAATAATAAAAGTAAAATAAATTAGAATAAACTCAAAATAAATTGTAAAGCAATTTTTAATTAAATAGCATACCTTTATGAAACTCTTGGGAGTTGTGAAATGGGTCATAATGAAGATCTGTGATGTGCCAAAAGTACCCTGTCGAGGAAATAATTATTTAGTGAAATAGTTTCTGTATTATTTGTTAATTCTTGTACTACAATTAAAACATTTGGTCACGTGTATAAAGCATATTATTCAAAAATGACTATAATATATCAGTTCTCTAATCATTTTAAACTGCCAGTGCCCACACTCTCTCCAGAATTAGTAGTAAATTATAGCGCAAAACTCGACTGCAGCGCTAAGCTCCGTCAGAGTAAAAAAGCAGTTTTATAAATGATTTTTTTTTAAATAATAAATGTTCCATTTTTAAAAATAATTAACAAATATCCGGTCTTTACTATGCCGGTGTCAAGTAAATGAGTAACGGATGCTAATTTCTCTTGGTATGCCCTTTCTACCCTTCGCTCTTATTAACCTCAAAGTACTAATAAAAAATTTGAGATGTGCTCCACAATTTTCCTTAGATTAATATACTTTGACGAAGCAGTAGTACAGTAACCAAGCGTTTGGCCGCAGCACTGGGTGTCGCGGGTTCAAATCTTGTACGTAACAAGTATAATTATCTAAAAATGATTGATCCATGTCCAGATGTTTATCTATGTTCAATTTATGAGTTGGTAATGGTTGGATTACGTTGGTAAAGTTTTTTTTTTTTTAATTAGAGAACTTTCTACGTGGTAGAGCCATGCTGCAGCTATATTATGGTTGTAGCACGAATGGGTCGGCTCAAACGGGGAAGGACCACGCTCTCACAGAAAACCAACGTAAAATAGCAGATTAACGCTGCTGTGTTTCGTATGGTGAGTGTAGAGAACCGGAGACCCTTTTTACTGGCAAAGAGGCATTCCATCTTAGTCCTCACGGGTGACAACGCATCTGCATCTTGAGTCTTTATTGAGGATAGATGTAGATGTCTATGGGTCACAGTAACCACTTACCATCAGGTGGACTGTGTGCTCGTTTGTCACCCGATCCTTTAAAAAAAAAAAGAACATATAATGTTACTGTTATTTTTTCGAGGTTACGTACCAATTTTAGCATCTATTAAATTCAGCCACAGTAGGCTTGTAATATACACGGCGAGACTATTAGGATTCATGTTACGATGTTACATGATGGATACCGCCTGTAGTTTATTGCTCTTTTCTGTTCTTGTGATGTACTCATTGTATTATTTCACATCATCTGAAACAAAAAAGGCATCTTTATTATCTTTATTACCTTTTTCTCGATATTAAACGTAAAACTAGAAGGTATATTAATTTATTTTTCATTTAACTGTTGTAACGAAATGTCGAAATGAGGCAATAGATTCTCTTACACCGTCAGTTCACGGCAAACAAGCATAAAGGTTATGTCAAATCTTCCCTCTATTGCATGAGGTCCGTGTTCAACAACGGACTTTTACGAGGTCATGAAGGGGAAAAACTTTAGCAATAATTCACGCAATCTTGTGTTTTGATTGGTTTGAGGTCAAGAGAGCCAATAAATTTACAGTATGGGAAGTATTCCATCTAAATCGTCAAGGATCAGTAGTGCATTTGTAACCATATTTCTTTAAAGTTAATCGCAGTAACCACATCATCATCAACATCACTATCATCATCATTACAGCCCTTCGTAAGTACACTGCTGAACATAGGCCTCCCTAAGGAATGCCACAAAGCACAGTCCTGAGTCATCTACCTATATCCCTCGATTTCCTGCATGTCTTACCAGGTCGTCACTCCATCTGGTGAGGGGTCTCCCTACACTTCGCCTACTGGTACGAGGCTGCTACCCGAAAACCTTTTTTCCGCATCGGTTGTCGGTTCTTCGAGCATTATGGCCGGCCCATTGCCACTTCAGCTTACTAATCTCTTGGACTATGTCGCTCGTTCTGGTTTTACTGTTCTAACCACATCGTTACGTTAATATTATACAGAAATTAAGTTGTTTATAACGGTAGTGGTTTTTACATTACCGGACACCTACAAAATAATCGGATGAATGTATATAGATGTAAAGAAAACGATGAAACAAACAAATATTTATTTTTTGACAGATATGTATATGGGCACACACAATACTTAACAAAGTTTCATCCCAATCAAATGATTGGCAACAAACGTACACGGGACAAACGAAGAAACAGTTACTTTCTTATTACGTAATGATGCACTTAGGTCACATTTAAGTCAAATTCAAGTAGCCATAAATAACACATTCCACTCCTACGTCTCACTCTCTCACGTCGTAAACCTAATCTCAATAAATATATTTTTTTTTATATTTACATTTGAAAAAAAAAATTAAAAAATTGAAGTGACATATGAACTTACAGTCCACCTGATGATTTTCACCTACTTCACAAAAAGAAGGCTACAGATGCGTTGTCACCCTGAGGGCTGAAATACCTCACAGTCTGTAATTACACTGGCGGCAGAAATAAGTAAGCGGGTGTTAGCTACCCAGACAAACTCCTAGACAAAATGGCAGTCCTACCACTTAGTGAAATATGATGAATATAATGACAAAAATGCAATGATATAGATAGGATGTGTGTTCTCTATTGTAATATTAGAAATAAAAAATAAAACGTAATTTTAAATTTTAAATTTTGTACTGCCGACTTCAATATAAGTTATTAAGAATAACTCAAAAACTATTGGTCTGACCTTGATCAAATTCATATGGGACCACACGAGAAGTACCACCTTTGAAATCAAAAAAGAATCATTGAAATCGGTTCACGCAGTAAAAAGTTATGAGGTAACACACATAAAAAAACATACAGTCGAATTGAGTACCGTCTCCTTTTTGAAAGTCGGCAGAAAAAGGTCTACATGTATAGCTTGTGTACTCTTATATTTGTATCTTTGGTCGTGAAAAGAAAAGGGGAGATCTACCGCCGGGTAACATGTTCTGCTCGGGGAGTGGCCAAAACGTGGTGTGTTGTTTCGGAGCTGTTGTATATATAGCGCGTTAACTTCAGAATTTTGAAAGCGCGATTTAGGCTTCGGTGCGTTTTGCTTACGAGGTGACGACAGCGCCGCCACACGATGTTAGACATAAGCATATGGATCACACATTATAAATGTTTATTTATAAAATAAGGGTAACACCTCAGAGCAACTACACGCACAATACGAAACACAGTAGCATAATACTGTCATTTCACGCTAATATTCCACGGGTTCTTCCCCGATCGATTCAACCCATACTTACTGTAGCTATAAATCATAATACAGCTGCGTTGATGTTGTAAATGGCGAACGGGCATTTCTTTGATGACAATTTAAAATATTAAAAAACTGCGGTTGCCAATTAGCCTTAGCCGCAATATATGGGGGGGGGGGGCATATGCTTAGCAACGTACTTTTGATAGGCTGTAATGAATATTTTAATACTTATTTTATTTTATAAATAAAATAAAAAAAAAGGGTCTCTCCAATAAAATTTTATTTAATCTTGAGTTATGTGTGTGCCCGACTGGTGTCATTACTTTTATATTAGCTATAATAACTAATATAAGTAGATATTACTTAGTAGCTACAATATGCTTAATAAAATTCGACAGATATGTATATGGGCACACACAATACTTAACAAAGTTTCATCCCAATCAAATGATTGGCAACAAACGTACACGGGACAAACGAAGAAACAGTTACTTTCTTATTACGTAATGATGCACTTAGGTCACATTTAAGTCAAATTCAAGTAGCCATAAATAACACATTCCACTCCTACGTCTCACTCTCTCACGTCGTAAACCTAATCTCAATAAATATATTTTTTTTTATATTTACATTTGAAAAAAAAAATTAAAAAATTGAAGTGACATATGAACTTACAGTCCACCTGATGATTTTCACCTACTTCACAAAAAGAAGGCTACAGATGCGTTGTCACCCTGAGGGCTGAAATACCTCACAGTCTGTAATTACACTGGCGGCAGAAATAAGTAAGCGGGTGTTAGCTACCCAGACAAACTCCTAGACAAAATGGCAGTCCTACCACTTAGTGAAATATGATGAATATAATGACAAAAATGCAATGATATAGATAGGATGTGTGTTCTCTATTGTAATATTAGAAATAAAAAATAAAACGTAATTTTAAATTTTAAATTTTGTACTGCCGACTTCAATATAAGTTATTAAGAATAACTCAAAAACTATTGGTCTGACCTTGATCAAATTCATATGGGACCACACGAGAAGTACCACCTTTGAAATCAAAAAAGAATCATTGAAATCGGTTCACGCAGTAAAAAGTTATGAGGTAACACACATAAAAAAACATACAGTCGAATTGAGTACCGTCTCCTTTTTGAAAGTCGGCAGAAAAAGGTCTACATGTATAGCTTGTGTACTCTTATATTTGTATCTTTGGTCGTGAAAAGAAAAGGGGAGATCTACCGCCGGGTAACATGTTCTGCTCGGGGAGTGGCCAAAACGTGGTGTGTTGTTTCGGAGCTGTTGTATATATAGCGCGTTAACTTCAGAATTTTGAAAGCGCGATTTAGGCTTCGGTGCGTTTTGCTTACGAGGTGACGACAGCGCCGCCACACGATGTTAGACATAAGCATATGGATCACACATTATAAATGTTTATTTATAAAATAAGGGTAACACCTCAGAGCAACTACACGCACAATACGAAACACAGTAGCATAATACTGTCATTTCACGCTAATATTCCACGGGTTCTTCCCCGATCGATTCAACCCATACTTACTGTAGCTATAAATCATAATACAGCTGCGTTGATGTTGTAAATGGCGAACGGGCATTTCTTTGATGACAATTTAAAATATTAAAAAACTGCGGTTGCCAATTAGCCTTAGCCGCAATATATGGGGGGGGGGGGCATATGCTTAGCAACGTACTTTTGATAGGCTGTAATGAATATTTTAATACTTATTTTATTTTATAAATAAAATAAAAAAAAAGGGTCTCTCCAATAAAATTTTATTTAATCTTGAGTTATGTGTGTGCCCGACTGGTGTCATTACTTTTATATTAGCTATAATAACTAATATAAGTAGATATTACTTAGTAGCTACAATATGCTTAATAAAATTCGACGCGTGACTGAGATCTAAATCTCATACTAGTGTTTTTCGTAGTTTTTATTATACATAAGCATTTATGTCATGATTAAGAAAAGATTTTTTTGTTTATTATATAAACGTCAATAAAGACTCATAGCCTTTTAAAACTGTTTGTATTTTAATTCTACCTTGATGATAAATCTGGGACATAACATTAGTGTCCCGCTTGTGTAATTACATAATATTTTGCTGTCCACGTTACGAAGTGACAATATGACGCCATAGAAAATCTAATAATAAAAATTATATTTGCGTAGAAACGAAAGAGTAAAATATACAGAAATACTCCACAATTATCGCTGCAATGGTTGGTGGTACCTGGTTTTTTTTTACGGTTACTAGCTTTGCAAGCACAAATAATATAATAATAAAACAACATTAAAACGTGGAAACTTGCTTTAATGTAATAGCTATAAAATGTGGACGTATCAACAATGACTATTGTTAACCTCTTAGCCAGTTTGTCTGGAAAGACACAACCAAAGACCATTTTCTTTATAGAGATACGTTTAAAAAGAAAAAAAGAAAACGTAAATCCTCCTGTCATAACTATCAAAAATGTACTATAAAAGAAAAATAAATGTTAATTCCTTCAATACCCTAGCATTTCCTAATGGTAATTCCCTAGCATTTCTTTAAAAATGTTTAAATAGCGACTTAACTTTTTTTTAAGAAGTTGAATCTCAGTTCTTTTTAAAATCGTATAAAATTTAGGGCCAAAACATAACTTTCCAGTTGTTTCCAGTTAGTCGATGTTTTTACACAGCTGATTCCGTAAATAGAAATCTGGGGCGGTCTGTTGGTAATTTTCTTGGTATAAAGCTCACTTTTAATTAAATTTAATACACTGGACTAAGAAAAAGACTGTACATTTTTTGTAAAACAGAATAATAAATATATTACAAGTCTACGAAACTTTAATATCGCAATTTTTCTCTGGAGTGCCTTGCGTAATTTACTTAGTGTCGTTAGTTTATAAATATATATTTTTGGGATTTAAG